CCTCCCCTTCAGCATGGTCTCTCTTGCTCACTTGCTTCTAATCAGTAGGAAGCGGCTGAGGTGGCCGTGGGTGGCCTCTGTTGGCACACGGTTTCCTGCTTGCCTTTGGATACTGTGCTCTGGGGAAGCTGGCTGCCAGCACGCTCGTGCAGCTCTCTGGGAAGGTCTCTGCTCACAGTGCTGCTGGCCGGCCAGGTGTGTGAAAGCAGGTTCTCCAGCCCCGGTCGAGCCTTCAGATGATGCAGCCCCAGCCATCACTTTGAGGGCAACCTCAGGAGAGTCCTGGCACTGCCCAGCTAACCCAGAGACTACAGGCGAGAATGTCTGTTCCTGTTGTAAGGCCTCGGAGTGGATGGGGGAGGACAGGCAGGCTGGTGGTATTGCAGCGGGGGGTGCGTTCTGTTCCCGCACCCCGGGCTGTGCCCACCTGCAGGGCAGAGGCTGCCGGCCTGCTGTCCCCTCCTGCATGGTGCCCAGGGCACCCGTCTCCTGGGGTGCAGTCAGTTACTGGGCAGGTTAGAGGGACTAGGAAGGAGGACTTCTAGTCCCAGGGAACCTGCAGAGGCTGTGAGCCCTGGGAGGCCCTGGGAGGAGGCCGGGAGGGAGGCCTCTGGCTTCCTGTCTGCCTGGGGCTTTGCCTAGGATTGCTGTTCTCGTCTGTCCAGGATTCCGACTGTGCTTTGAAACGTTGTGACACGATCTCTTCTGTCTTAGTCGGGGCTCCTTTTGTTGCAAGCACCAGAAGCTCAATGTGGAGGAGCCTGGGCCTGGGGACTCCTGCTCTGGGGGCTCCTACTCTAGGGACTTCTGCCCTGGGGACTCCTGCCCTGGGGACTCCTGCCCTGGGGACTCCTGCCCTGGGGACTCCTGCCCTGGGGCTCCTACTCTAGGGACTCCTGCCCTGGGGACTCCTGCCCTGGGGCTCCTGCCCTGGGGACTCCTGCCCTGGGGGCTCCTGCCCTGGGGGATCCTGCCCTGGGGACTCCTGCCCTGGGGGCTCCTGAGGCAGAGGCAGCCACCCTTGGGCAGTGCCTGTGCCTTTCCGCAAATGGCTTTACTCTACTGCCAACAGGACGTCCGCTCATGGTGGGACACAGTGTCGGCATCTCAGAGACTCACTTCTCCTTCCACTGCACAGGGAAGTGACTTCAGCCACCAGCCCTGGTCCCCAAGGCTCCAGGAGAGGGTCTGTGGGACCAGACCCTGGCCAGCGGCTCTGACGGGGACAGGATTGTGCAGTGCAGGTGTGGCTGTCGGCAAAGGTCTCCTGTGGTGCTCAGGCCGCTGCTGGCGCGTGTCCAGGTCAGTTTATCCCACGCCGCAAATCCTGCTTGCCCAAGTAAAAATGGAGCTTGTGAGGTCAGCACGGTGGACATTTGCGTACCTATGGGACAGAGAGGCTTGAACTTCATTCCGAGGGGAAAGAGGCCAGCCCCGCCTTTATTACTCTGGTAGAGAACCCTGTCTTTCTAGATTTTGAAAACATCTCCACCCCATCGCAAGTGACCAGGAGGGACTTCTGGGCCGCACCCGCCTCCTACCGCAGAGAGTCGCTAGCACTGGTGGCTGGGTCAGGGCTCCTGAGTGCTCTGCCTGCTGTGATGGCTGAAGCTCTTCTGTGCACCATGTCTTTCAGTGAAACTCATCCCTCAAGCCCCCTGGGAGAGCTGCTTTTGTCACCTGAGTGCCGAAATGCATAAGAAAGTGGCAGTCAGGATGCCACACTCCAGTGAGGAGAGCAGAGGGTGGAGCAGCCTTATGACCGGGGGAGGGGTCCAGGGGCTCTGGGCGGGACAGCTGCTTAGAGAGAGGGGTGGGGCAGTCATCACCGTCAGGTGGACAGCTGAGGCAGGAGGTCACCGCGGGCTCACTGGCCTCAGTCCTGCCCTGACCAGATTTGCTGTGTCCACCTGACGGTGCCCATGGGACTGAGGCCTGCAGTCCAGCCATGGCAGTTTGCAGAGAACGTCTGGGGCACCCTGGGAGCAGGTGCCACTCCTGAATTGCTCCGTGTTCTGCTGTTTCCTGCCTTGGAAAGTGATGATTTTTAAAAATGTTCTCTTAAATGCAGTGGGGGCAGTGCACTGGAAGCATCCAGGCATGAAGATGGCGCCCAGGTCAGTGGGGCTGGGGGAGCTGCGCTGGGGGAGCTGCGCTGGGGTGCTGGGCTGGGGGAGCTGGGCTGGGGTGCTGGGCTGGGG